GCAAATTCTCCCCCGACCACTCCAGCCCTGGCCACTGTTCCCGCCTCTGGGGGTGCCAAACACTGGCTACTGGAGCCACTGCTCTACAAGGTGACACATCAGAAAACATGCTGGATACTCACCATTTACCCCCAATCATGGTGGAAGCATGTTGGAGTCCTACGGAGCTCCTCCTAGAGCCTAGCTCAGTTCCATATATATATATATATAGTCTCGGAAAATGTTTAATTGACTGATGAAGTTGATAAAAATGAGTTTCTGAAATCGAGAGAATATTTAGTAAAAGAAATATTTTTATCACACAAATTTAAAGACTCCAGAATAATATGTTTCTATTACAGATTCCGCACCTTTTATAGTTTTTCATGAGCACCACCACCACAGCAGTACCAACTATACGTAATAAACAATATATTTTGAGTGCTTATGGTAGGTAAGTCTTTTGCATAACATTTTATTTCTTCTTCACCACAAACTCATGAGCTTACCCCATTATCAACCCTACTTGGTAAATGAGAAAACCAAGGCTCAGAGAAACAAAGTGACTTGTATGAGGCCACAAGGTTAACACGTAGCAGAGCCAGGATCGGAACTCTGGTAGTCTGGCTCCAGGGTGCTTGCAATCACTACCTCTCAAGATCACAGCCTCTCCACCAACGTGTGCTGTGATTGCACCCCTAAAACCCATGGTAGATGTATCTTGCTTAATATCCTTCATGTATAATAGTTTATAATTGCCAAGAATGGCACCACAATAAATTTCATCAGTTTAATGAAATTATCTTTTAAAACACTTCAAGATGATAGACATTGGCTAATTTTAAAATAATTTCTACTAAAGGGCTCCATCAATAGTGCAGTGATAACTCCGATGTAGATGGCCACTTTACTAACGTCCTACCCATCACTTTCACGTGTGCTGCGCAGGTAATCTGTTCAATCCATGGTCTACATGATAAAGATGAGACACTTCTTTTATGGCACAATTTTCTTTTTAAATGTAACCAAGTAGATATTTGATAAAACTGGATTTAATCCTCTCTGGAAAGTGGATCCTGAGATTGTACAAGAACTGAAGGACTCCCTCAACAGAGGGGTGGGATGGAATCGGTCCTGGTTGAGGCCAGTTCTGCAAGCTGAGGCACCCCAACTGGTGTGGACCACGTAACACATTTGTCTTATTATGGCTCCAGCCCCTGAGGTTGGTGGCTCTGAGTCTGCAGTTAGGATCTAAAATTCTGTATCTCCAAGCAGAGCTCAAGGGAATTGCACACATAAACACTCAGCACTCAGCTTTGGAGACTCCAACTATGATTGCTCAGCAGAACTTTTTTTTTTTTTGCTTTGTTTTCACCATTCCTTTTAAAACTAAAACAAACAAACAAAAAGCAACAACAATAACAACAAAACTCCTCATAGTTTCTGCTGGCATGCCAGTGTTTAGACACACTGGAATAAGTACAAGATGAAAGGTGTCAGATTGCTGGATGTGTGTCCGGTCTCAGCTTTACAACTGAGAAGGTATAAAGGGGAGAGGAGGAAGAGGAGGGGGTGGGAATCATCGAAGTCAGGATGATTCTAGCACTGGATGTGTAGTTAATAAAGACCAGTCTCTAGAGGCAAGCCAATACTTTATCCATGTTCTACAAAGAAACAGTCATCTGTCCAGCATTGAAGGTAACAATGGCTATTTTTTAATTTTTGTCTTACATACTTCCTTTAGAATGTAACTCCTATGTCAAATATGACCCACTTATATAGAAAACATGTTCAGTATTCAGCAAAGAGGCAATGGTTCCAGTGATAGCCCACTATTTTCCAACTCTCAGTGTGTTCAGCACCTAACCCCTTGACCATGCATCCCCTGTGCTGTCAGTTACCCATCTGGTGGGCAGAATTCTTCTAAGGAGGGAATAGATCACCTTGAGTTCTCCAGAACTGGAGATGGCCAACCAGATAACCACTTGGCTCATGGACTGAAGAAGTGCATCTCCTGGGTGTGAACCTAGGTGACCATCAGAGCCACACTCAAGAGTCTAAGATTCAGTTCCTACATAAATATCTACTATAAGAATTCTGTCACGGGGTCACCTGAAAGTTCCACAAGTAACTCTCTACCTTGACCCTAAAGACTTTCTGACACATTGCTCTCTCTGACATCATCTTCAAAGGTTTATGGGTGTTCATAAAAAGTCATTTCATGGAAATATAGAAAAACATACAAACCTCACATACGTGGAGAAGACAAGTACATTTATAAAGATGTTAAAAGAGGGGACATCTCCAGGTTAAAGTGCAATGGATGATTTTTGTATCCTTTTAACGGAGTTTTCTTTTTTCCCTCAAACTATGTTTCAGATTTGTCACTTTAAAAGTAAGTTCTTTACTTAAGTCATGTAATGATGATGAAATATGTCAATTAGAAATTAAATCAGTGATACAATTAATGCAGACCTTGGGTAACAACGCTACTACTTAACTTTAAAAGATATATATGTGTGTATATATATATATATTCCCCAGTCAGCAGAAACCACTTAAAACTTCACCTGCTTTCAGTCCTTGACTCTCTCAGCTCCAGCGTCGAATCCCAGGAGAGACAATTTATTGGTCTATCTTAGGCCATCTTCCCACCCCTTTCTCTGTTGAGGAAAGGTTACCCTAACTGACAATCCCAGCATGACTCCATGTGGTAAGGGAAGAGGAGCTCCCCTAGGAAGCAAAGGGCTATGGAGGCAAAAGAGTAAAAGCAACGACCATCCACCATGAAGACATTAACTGTCGGGATCCCCACCATGTGCCGTACACCAGCTAAATACACACATGCCAGAGATCACCCCATTTAATAATAACAGATAGACTCCATGGTTATTCCCATTTTACAGCTGAGGAAACTGTGGTTAGATAAGATTATCTAGCTTACTTATGTAACAGAGGTGAGTGGGAAGGTTAAGATTAACCCCAGTCTGTTTAACTCTAAATCCCACGCTCTTAGCCACTGTACTTATTCCACAACCCACCGAAACCTCCCCATCATCGCCCGGTTATTGATGTTACACATGCATCGTTTAGGTTGGAGTATCAGAGATAATGGGCACGGCCAAATGAAACACCATCACCCCACCCCTCATGCCTCATTAAATGGCTACCCATTGAAGGCAGAGATAACACCATTCAATACAGTAAGGGTTAAACATGACCACATTCAGAGATGCATACTGGAAAAGCCCAAAGAAACAGACTCAGGAATATGACCAGATTCCATCTCCCTTCTGTTATCAGAAAGAGAAGTGAGGCCAAGATGTGTGCATGCTGGAGTCCATGGAAACCCTAAACACGTTTCTCTGAGTGCTTCTCCTCCTGGGTCTGGCCTCGGTGTATTTCATGGAAAGACAATCTGTCTGTTTCTAATCCACTTACATTTAATTTATTTAAACGTTTTGGGCCAGAGTTATTTGAGTCCCAGAAAGCATTATGGGTCTACTTTATAAGACTTTAAAAAATCTGTTTCCTTTGAACAAAGAAGTTCTATTTTGCCTCAAGTGATTTGACCAAAACCTCAAAAAAAGTAAAATTGCCTCTAAATTCAGGACCAAAATGCTTAAGTCTATTCTAAACTCCATAAACACTCTTCTCTTAGGTACCTTAAACACACTCAGGCTATCTAATGATTATGGGGGTCATATGGACCCCTCAGATGTTGACCATCAAACCAGGAGAGGAAGCAGCATGATCCAAAGAGGGGAGGTTTTAAAGCTAGAAGACAGAGGAACTGGCC